ATCCTGGAGGTCTGGCTTCACCACAGTCGCCAGAAAAAGGATCCAGTTCTTGACATGAAGGGAGTCCCAGGGAGTGGCAGCAAGGGTGAGAAAGCAGTGAAATCATGTGAGGTATATTAATGGTGCACAAAAATAGGTCTGTGTAAAGTATTTGCTGTATGTACGGGTTCTGCTTTTGTGTGATCCATGACGGGAACAAGGGTGGGAGTGCTGGTAACAGCAACTCACTTTTTAATCAGGGAAGGATTTGTGAAAGAACAGTGGTTTCAAGAGATCTTTGGAGTAATTCCAACAAGGTGCTAATTGTGGTTGTGGTTTTCCTTTTTCTTTCTTTCTTTTTCTTTTTTTTAATGGGTGGACTTTAGTCTACCAGGTGCTACCGATCTGAGGGCCCCTGAACCTTCATTCCCTATGCGTGGGCAGTGGCAAATAAAACCATACCAATTGCCCTGTACAATTGGAAAGTTAAAAAATTTTTCCTGAGAGATTCTTTAGCTTCTAAAGGGTAAACGTTTGTTTAAACAGACCCAGTTTGCATTTTACAAGAGTTTTGCTTTTACAGTTCTTCGTTGTAAGCATACTTGGGTTTTGTTCTAACCTTTGGTTTAAAAACACTTGAACAAATTCTAGTGTTGAATCACTTATTTGCTTCCTGCTTATGTTGATCTCTTTCATCTTGATGTTTATTTTCAGGATACCTTGAGGATAGTTTTGTAAAATCTGGAGTCTTCAACGTATCAGAACTTGTGAGGGTATCCAGAAGTAAGTAAACTCTTTTCTTATTATTTAACTCTACAGTATGATTTAAAATATTTTATATTTGAACCTTAAAAACAGTATGAAGAGAACTGTGTACTAGGAGAATTTGAGTTTTAAAATCTCTGACCTTTTGATGAAATCAGAAGTGAATATATTTTGTCTGATTTTCTAAAAAATTTGCATTTAAATCAACACTTTCTGTAGTACAAAAACAATTTGCGGTTTGTTCTGCTTGCTGTGTTATTGGTATTCGTTTAATTCACTGTTCACTCTGTGACCATAGATGGTCATTTATATCAAAGGAAGTGTGATTAATTAAATGTACTCAGTGTTGTTATGATAACCCACATAAGTTTCCTGTAGATAAGTGCTTTTTCATTTTGCTAACATTTTGGTGAGGGCTTGGAGATGTACAGGATATACACACTAACATGCAGAGTGTAGAGGGATGCAGAAATTAACTTTGCAGATTGTAGCTGGATATAGATAGAAAGCATTGTTATCCAAAACAATGTCCAATTGTTTTCATTGGCCACCTCACCTGAGACACCGTTCTTGGCAGGCTGGATGAGAATTTTCTCTAGTAAGTTCACCTGGCCAGCTAACTAAGCAAGGGGGAAGTTTCCTTGATCAACTCTTTTAGTTATTACTGGTGTGTGCAAATATATGTAAGATGCAGTTCTTATCTCATTGATTATGCTGAAGGGGGTGACTCATTTCTACTTGCTCTCTTCTCTGATTTAGCTTATTTATGTAACTTTGAAGGGTGTATTTTCACCTGACATTTTCATAGAGAGTGTCATAATTTGGAATGATTTATTCAGATGATATAGGGGCACTCTGGAGCCTGTTTAAGTTGTGTTTTTCACTTGGGTCAAATTCAGAGGTCATGAACAAGAATTATGATGATCCAAAAAGAACAAACAAGAATGAGTTACTAAGGGTAAGTATAGGTAGTGCTTTAGCATGGCGTTGAGTGAAGTAATCTCCAAGGTGGTAGCTGACTTTATCTTTGGAACTGTAGTTTCTCAAATAGTTCAGATTTCTGAAGTGGCTAGTGCAAACAGCCTGTATTTCAGAGAGTTCTGTACATGAGCATTTAAGACTTTAGTAGCATCCTTTCTGACGTAATTCTGCAGTGGATAAATGTATGCCCCAAAGACTTCTGCCCTGGGTCTGTTGTCTTGGGGGCAGTGTAGGAGACCAAATTAATATCCTGTATGCCTGTACCTATAGGGTTCATATTTGCTGGGCAAGAGGATTCTGATGGTCTTTACTTCATTCACCAAGGTGATGAGCCTTGTGTGTTTCTCCTGATCAATATGTGTTGTGCAAAGACCTCTGATATTTGAACTTTTTTATGTTTATTTTTAATTTGGAAAGGAACATGCCTGACTTACTTACTACTACTTTATGGCATCATCTAAGGAAGGGGGTATTTAAGGATGTGTGTGTATGTTTCCCCAACTGCTCTTTAGCAGAGAGGCTATGCTGCTACAGTTATGAGACATTATGAAATTATTTGTTTAAATTTGTACTTTTCTCAGTTTTATGATATATTTTCACCCTTCTTATGCGAAGGACAGTAGAGCCGTCTGTCAGAAAATATCACTAATTCCTCATTATAGGTAACATTATGCTAGATGCTGTAGGAGAGCCACATGAGAACTTTTAAAAGCCCAGATTGATATTTTGAGGAATCTGAATTTGAAACATAAAAATAGATTAAAAAATACCTTTTTAGGGACTTTCCTGGTGGTCCAGTGGTGGAGAATTCACCTTCCAAAGCAGGAGGTGCAGGTTTGATCCCTGGTTTGGGAGCTAAGATTCCACATGCCTTGTGGCCAAAAAACCAAAACATAAAACAGAAGAAATATTGTAACAAATTCAATAAAGACTTTACAAATGGTCCACATCAAAAAAATCTTTAAAAAAAAATACCTTTCTCTGATAGTTCAGAAATGAGGCAAATTTAACATATACCATTCATTCTTTCTTGATTCATACTGTCATCTTCTAGAGGTTTTTAAGTTATCTGTTATAACAAACATTACTAATTTGTAATTAGTATATTAATTATCTGTATTCATTCATTAGTTACTTTATTCAGCAAACATTTATTTTCTACTGCATATGTAAATAGGTGTCTCTGAAATGCTTGAGAAGTTATTCTCCTAAGTGTTTTAATATATCCACATTATAATCTTATTTACACAATTGAACTTCATTGTTTATGAAATAAGGGTTTGCTAAGTAAACATCAACTTCAGCACAACCCTTACGCTGTATATCACAAATTCTGACTTCTTGAGGGTTTACGGTATGTTAATGGTTTCTGTCCTCTGGGGTTTTACTCTCATATGACCCTCTAATGTGCATGTTGACTTTAGCTAATGAAGCTATTCAGTTTTAGGATAGTGATCTTTCTGGTGAAGGATATTATCACCATCTTAAAAGTTGATTTAGGATCAGCTTTTGGAGTGAGGAGAACAATAAGAGAGATTAAGGGTTGGCCTCTAACCCTTGGAGTCCGAGGTTCTTCTGAGCTTGGTTTCTAAGAGGGTATTGGCAGCCTCTTAAACATGATTTGCAGCCTTCAGCCCCCTTGCTGCTCTCTGGGAGAGGTGCTAACACTGATCTTTGCATCTGATGTAAGTTTTTCCAGAGGCTTTTAAACAGGCACATCTGCCTGGGACTTGCCGTTCTCATGCACTTTGTCATTAGATAAATTTTATGCCTGTGTGCTGTTTTAGAATCTGGCCATGTTCGCTATTAATCTACTTTAATTTCCGTAATCTCCCATTTAGTGTAAAAATGCACACTAAATTTTACAGTGCTCGTGTGTAAATCCATAGACAAAGTGTTTTTGTTCTTGTTTCGCTTAAGCCATGACTAAAGCTTGATTTTCCGTCTTGTACCCCACCCCCGCAGTTTTATTGAGATTTAGTTGACATGTAGCACTGTATAATTTTAAAGTGTATAGCATAATGACTTGACTGACGTATGTTGTGAAATGCCACAGTAAGTTTAGTCAACATCCATCATCTCATACAGATACGAAAAAGAGAGAAAACGTTATTTCCTTGTGATGTGAACTCTTAGGATCTACTCTCTTAACAGCTTTCCTGTATATCCTACAGCGGTGTTCACTGTAGTCCTTATGTTGTACATTACATCCCCAATACCTATTTATTCTGTAACTAGTAGTTTGTACGTTTTGACCACCTTCCTCCAATTCTCCCTCCCCGCCCACAACACCCACCTCTGGTAACCTTTTCTTTGAGTTTGGTCTTTTGTTTGTTTGTTTGTTTAGATTCCACTATTGCTTTCTTGATACTTTGGAAGAATCCTTCTGGAACAAAACTTAGAAAAAAACAATTTCCAAAGATTTTTAATTATCATTTTCCTATAAATTATACCTAGTATGCTTACGGTCAAGCAATCTGTGTTGACTATCAAACCGTATGCTTATTAAATAGAAACTACAAATCTTTGCCTAAATACTGCATGAGCTTAATAAATTGCAAATAGTTGATGTAAGATATAACCTGTAAGCTTCCCGTTGGTAACTCAGTTCTTTGAATTGTATCCATCACTGCTGTTGGAAGCCAAACAGATTGCTTACCTTCAACGAGCCCCTCAAATGCCTCCTTCCAGCACATACTCTGCTTTCCGATGTCACATAGAACATGGTTCTAATAATAAACTTTAAAGCATGTGGTTACTGTGGGATTTCTTACCTTGCATTTTTTTTAACCTCTGGTGTACCTCAGGCCACAACAAGCAGCTACATTTTAACTGTCCAAAGAACTCGAGCCATTAGGCATAGTTGCACATTGAACACTAATATTTTCTGTGTAAAATGAGACTAAAGCATATTATATAATATGAACAACCTAACAGAAGGCAGAAACTCCAGAGTTTTAGAGCTGAGACTAATCTCTTATGTATTGATTAATTTTTAATGGGGAGAGATACTCGTTGTATATTCCTTGATTGTTTCTCTACAAGGCATGCACCTCCTAATCATATTTTCTTTAAAAATACTTTGTTAGTCTCAGCCTGCCTGAGATATCGAAGTACAATTCAACTGATAGTGAACACATTTCAAATGTTTATTAAAAATTCTGAGTAAGAAAAAGTCCTTGAAAATCGGCTGTCCCTTTGGAATTTTTTACTCAACGTGTGGTTAGTTTGGAGAGGGGAAGGTTAAGTAGACTTTGTGTTCTTAGCGTGAATTTCAAGGGCTCCAGAATTTCCCCGCCCCACATAGGATACACTTTCTCTCACTGGAGATCTTGAAGGCCTGATAAAAACAGGTGAAAAAATAGAAACTATTCTTAAGCATTGTCCTTTGGCACCAACCTGGCTGGCCTCCATCTTGTATGTCATCTCTGCCCATGACCTTGCTCCTGTAGTAATTGCTGTTCAGAGTAACCTCCCTTTAGTACATTACTCATCTTCCAAAGCCCTGGGCCAGCTGTGACTTTTCCACAGATTTCTTGGACCATTCAAGCTTGTATCAGATTCCTCTTTCCTTGAAATCCTGTAGCATTTATTGATCATGTCATTCATTTGGAAGTTTCATTATAAAACGCATTATGCTTGTATCTCTGTGTTTTTCATGAGTATTTTGTTTACCCAGCTTGTTGCCCAGTATGTCTTATTAAGCACGGGAACTATCTTAGACTATTTTGTGTCCCTTGCAGCATCTTATTGAATGAACAAACCTTCAGCAAGTAGGTTCATTTGTACCAGTTCACCAGCTTTGCGTGGGTTTTTGAACTGTTTCATCTTTGCTGACCACTCTAGGTTGCCAGGGAAGAATTTCAGGGAAGGAAGCAAGGAAAGAAGGGAATTCACATTTGTTGAATATCCATTATACACTAGGCATGATGCTGGACTTTTATCACTACTTACCTCATCTCATCCTCAAAACAATCATATGTGATAGGTTATTCTAATTTTCATTTTACAGTTCAGGAAACTGAGACACATAGCCAATAAGTGGCAGAGGGAGTTAAAACTAAAAGGCTGTCTATCTCCCAAGACCCTACCCATTCTAACACAACATGCTGTCTGACAGATTTATTCAAGAAATTGGTCTAGGAACCAATTTTAAAAATTTGAAAAGATGTAATCCATTGTACAACAACCAATATTACATTAAAATTTTCAGTTCTTAATACATCAACAAACTCAAAAAGACTTCTTGATTTATAAAATAATACCTTAAAGTATAAAACTCCATGAGTATATTTTAAATGACTTATGAAATTGGGCATACACACTTTTTTAAAAACAAAACATAGCTGTTGAGTAAAACTGTACTCACCATTCATATATGAAACCTGAATATGTATTTTGGAAAAAGAATCTTGACTTGTATTTCATATTTGTCAATTTTACTTATATACCTGTCCTAATACAAGAATTATTTTTATATCAAATAATTATAAATATGATTTCTAATGCATTCTAACATTAATGTTAACATTATTATAAAATAATAATCACCTTTTGTGAAACTATTCTAATTCGATTTATTTAACAATAATTTGGTTTTTGAGATCTGACCTAGTACAGAGTGCCTTGCTTGGTGCTGAGCAATAGGCAACATATATCATTCCCTGTGGCGCATCTAGAGACTAGTGGGGTGACAGGTGTAGTGACGACTAACACAAAGGACTGAGTGAAAAAGCTTGGGCAGTGGGAGCGGGAGAAGGGGTAACCAGTGCTGATAGCGTGCCTCAGGTTTCCACACTTGAACACTGGCATCGTGAGGATGTTTGCAAGTCTTAACCAGTGAATGGCTGGTATTAGATTCTTAAGGTAAAGAGAGTTCCCCTCATCCTTGCCCAGAGGCATGGAAAATATTAGATTATTACATTTGAATAGAGATGACAACAGTAAATGGCATTCCCAATGTTTGTTGGTGTTGTTGTTTCATTCCTCAGCACCCATAACCCAGGGAACTGGAGTCAACTTCCCAATTGGAGAAATCCCAAGCCAACCATACTATCATGACATGAACTCGGGGGTCAATCTTCAGAGGTCGCTGTCTTCTCCACCAAGCAGGTAACTGAAAGAGGAGCTGCTTTTGTTCTCAGTCTATATGCAAATCGGTAGATAAGTAGACATGCAGATAGATAGGTACACAAGTAAAGAGAAGGGGGAAATAAAGAGTTCAAGATTTTTGCTGATTTTACACAAAGTTTTAATCTTTCCTGGTTAAACTTATTTTGAAATTTGAAAGTTAAATTGTTGTTCAAAGCATTTTAAAAAGGCTTTTTGGGGAGACAAGGGAACTATAAAAATGTATTAATATTTTTATTCCCTTATATGAAGTATTATAACTCTATAAGTAATTCTTTTGGTGACTTTAAAAATGATATTGCCATAGCAAAGATCCCTGGTTTAGGATTGATTCATCCAACTTTTACCCTAATACCATGTCCAAGCTGGGGATAACGAAACATGAAAAATAAAATGTGTCATTTACTTAACCTTAAAAGGCCTTATTCTAGGCAACAGGTTTGCCAAGTTCTTCAATTAGTTGATGTTCTTTGAATAATTTAGTTAACTCTCAGTTACCAGTGAAAGTATTACCTGCTCTGAGATTTGGCCTAACCAGCCTTTGTTGGGGAACAGCTACAGTGAGGTGACTTTGCCTTTTAGTCCTCTGCTGACATTCTCATATTTCTCTCTTGACCTTCTGATTGTAACTTTCAGTCCCACAGGAGTTTAAAAAGAGATCTGCTATTTAAATGAGGGAGAATTAACTTGGCAAGTTGTAGTACATAGGATTTCATGATATGTTCCCCTATTGTTGAATGATAGAAGAGGGCTGAGTGAATAAGACAAATATTATAGCTTTATTGGGGTTTTTTGAGTTGAATCTTCAATATAGGAAGAGCAGTCTCATTTCCATAGCATTAAATATACCCACAATCAGATAGAAGATCATACGTGAGTTCCAGAGCAAAACATATATTTCACAGTATCAGCTGTTACAAAATTTAAAAATCTGGATAACTATATTCCTCTGCTATTCTCAAAAACAAAAATTAATTGCATTTGAATTAATTATGGAGCTATACACATTGTTTATTAACTAAGTTCAATTTGATGTCATTTATGGTCAAACTATATTTTCCTATAGTCAGATTGCATAGCAAGAGAATAGGGTTTATTCTCATTAAAACTGTCTGTGATATGGTGAAGTGTTAAAAATGCTTTAGTTTTTCTAAATTTAAAATGCGAATAGTAATTTTTTATTTTGTCTGGTGGATTGGTATGCTGTCAACACAGATCTTTCCTCCTGATCGTTCAGTGTCAGATACTACATCGTTCAAATAAAAAAGGTTTAAAAAAATTTTCTCTATTATTTCCTTATGAAAGTCTTTTCTCCCTCATTTCAAGTTTTCCATACATATTTACCGCTGATTTACAGATGGGAGAATTAAATTAAAGGAGGCTTAAAAAATACATTCTAACTTTGGATACCCTACAAAGAAACTAAAGAAACTATTTACTCTCACTGTGGTTTAGCATGGATAGAAATTGCCATCTTCTGCATCATGTTAATACTCCGGGAGTTGTGAGTCAAATATTAATCACAAATGTATCTATGAATATACCCAGACATGCACATGCTTCCAGGATTTGGAAACAGTGTAGTAGAAAGAGCACAGTCTCAGAAGTCAGAAGTCCTTACTTTGTGTCAGACTGCTTCCATTAACATGCCCTGGGCAATTGATTTTCTCCAAATTTGTCTTCCCACTTGTTAGAAAATGGAGGATTGGTTTATGTGTATGGCTTCTAAAGTGAATTACAACTCTGAAATCCTATGACACTAGGTTTATTATCACTGTATAAAGTTCATTCGGAAGATATCATTTTTAGTTTTTATTTCCGTAGGTGTGAATAAGATTTTTTTTAATTTAAGGAAAAAATATCCATTTCTATACTCATAACTTACTGTTTAATAGGGTATTGGTGGAGATGTTTGAAAACAGTATATCAAGCAATATGGCATGTGGCAAAGAATAGCTTTTTAATCTCTGCTCTAAATATTCACTTTTCTTAGTAATTGAGATAAAACTATGTTTTCTTTATTAAAATATATTATACTACTTTGAAAGTTATTTTGGTTTGAATTTGGCAATGGCCTGTTTTTCATGGTTGATCTTAAGAATAAAGGATCAATAACCTAAGTTCTTAGGAAAAAAATCTAAAAACAATAAATGCTGGAAAGGGTGTGGTGAAAAGGGAACCCTCCTACACTGTTGGTGGAAATGTAAATTGATACAACCACTATGGAAAACAGTATGGAGGTTCCTTAAAAAACTAAAAATAGAACTACCATATGACCCAGCAATCCCACTACTGGGCATAAACCCTGAGAAAACCATAATTCAAAAAGAGCCATGTACCACAATGTTCAATGCAGCACTATTTACAATAGCCAGGACATGGAACCAAGCTAAATGTCCATCGACAGATGAATGAATAAAGAAGATGTGGCACATATATACAATGGAATATTACTCAGCCATAAAAAGAAACGAAATTGAGTTATTTGTAGTAAGGTGGACAGACCTAGAGTCTGTCATACCGAGTGAAGTAAGTCAGAAAGAGAAAAGCAAATACCGTGTGCTAACACATATATATGGAATCTAAAAAAAAAACAAAAATGGTTCTGATGAACCTAGTTGCAGGGTGGGAATAAAGATGTAGACAGAGAATGGACTTGAGGACACGGGGTGGGAGGGGGAAGCTGGGGTGAGGTGAGAGTAGCATTGATGTATACGCACTACCAAATGTAAAATAGTTAGCTAGTGGGAAGCAGCAGCATGATCTCCCTCTGCTTTGCGATGACCTAGAGAGGTGGGATAGGGAGGATGGGAGGGAGGCCCACAAGGGAGGGGATATGGGGACATATGTATGCATATGGCTGATTCACTTTGTTGTACAACAGAAACTAGCACAGTATTGTGAAGCAATTATACTCCAATAAAGATCTATTTAAAAAAGAGGATATATGAAATAGTTTATAATCAATCAGTCAAGTACTATAAAATTTTTAATATTATTAAATATAGGGTTGCTACTAATAATTACTATTTTATAAGTGTCTTCTAAATGCCAGCCACTAAATGCATGAGCTTTACATTTAATAACTCATTTAATCCTCTCAACCACTCCCCTTTTTATTATTTCCATTTTACAGATGATTAAACTGAGTTTAGGAGGGTTAAGGAGTTTACTTATCTTTGAATTGACACGAAGGGATTACATTTTTAATGGCAAGTGCCGTACGAATGAACGTTATTCATATTGATAATAATTATGAGTCAGGTACAATCGATAACAATTTTTAAATTAGTATACCTATCACATTAAGAATTCACTTTTTAGTACTGAAAATAGTGTTCTACTACTGGAAATATATTTCAACGTGTATATATAATAAACACATTTGTTAGGCAGGTACAGTTCTGATATAATAAATGATACCTACAACAAGAAATGTCTGCTACTCCTATTGATGTCTTAAATATTCACCATTATTTCAAAATGGTTCTGAGATACTGTTACTTGGCGTTTGTGGAAATTTCCACAGTAAGAATATTCTCAGATTATGTATTTTCAGATGCTACACATCTTTCTAGAAATCCCATTAACATTCACTCTTGTCATATTTTAACAGCAAAAGACCCAAAACTATATCCATAGATGAAAATATGGAACCAAGTCCTACAGGAGACTTTTATCCCTCTCCGAATTCACCAGCTGCTGGAAGTCGAACATGGCATGAAAGAGATCAAGGTGAGTAATAAGGCGTTGCCTCTAGGAACAGTAGAGTAAAATGTCAGCTCCTTTCACAAATTTCATTTAGTCAAAATTTCATAATTGAATCAATATGGATTATATTTTTTTCATGAAATGATTGCAATAAAATTATTTTTAAGGTCATGTACTAGTCAAATCTTGTTAAAGTTAAGTTACAAAATTCCCATATTTTTATGTGTTTGTTAAACTTTTTTTTTAGACAAAATGATCTTTTAGAACCCTCAATGTGTGTGTGACTGATGATGACCTGGCTACATTAGTTGGCTGGATTGTAGCAGAAGCACAAGTTCTGATTCAGTCAAATCAATCTGCTCCTCTTAATGGGGTATTTTAAGGAGGAGCCAGGCTTTAAGCGGTTCGCAGGTACTAGTTACTGAAAGTTCCCATTTAAAGGAAGCCATACTTCCTTTTGGAAGTAGGTACAACATGAACGATAAATAAGTGTAATGTAAGACACTTGGTGTCTGAGTCAATCTAGTTATTCTATCTAGATAAAACTATAACCCAGTCCTAGGGCAGCTCTAGGGAAAAATATAACTTTAAGAAATAGGTATTATTTGACTCTCTGAATTCATACTTTGCTCTTTTTCATTCTTAAAATCTATTGGATTAAATATATTTCATCCGACATACTCATGCCTTTTTGCCACAGAAGGAGATTATTAAACATGGAAACAAAGATTAGCTAACAATTTTTGTTGGTATGTATGCAAATATGACTTATATCAGCAGCACAAAATGTATTTGAAAATTCTTTTAGATAAAATTCTCCATTTTATTAAAAAAGGAAAAAAAAAAAAAAAAAAAAGAGCTCATTAGCAATGTTTTTTAGCCCATGACTTGGGCGTGTGTATCTGAGGCTTGAGGAGCTGCATGTCCAGTAATCTCAGGAGACCAAATAGCTCTGAAGATGAGCAGTTAAAGCCAAAGTTCAGGACTCCTTTTCTGCTGCTCCATGTTTTCCTACCGAGTGCCATAGCATTTAAAGAAGGGTGAGACATCTTCATGGAGGAATTGACATTGAGTCAGGTGGGTCTCCTTTAGCATGCTGAGATTTTTAACTAGTAAAGAAGGGGACAGCGTGGGCACAGACAGAAGCACAGGCAAGCATTGAGGTGGGGAAGTAAATTTCTGAATGGCCATGTATGAGCCCTGTAGTGGGAGGCTGTGTATGTGGATGGAAATAAAGGGAGATCATTTTAAGGAAGGATTTGAAAATCAGCTGGAGAGTTTGGGCTCTGAGATCTCACTCCACCTCCCCAATCTATTCTTTAGACAGAACCATCTTTTAAAACATAATAATGTCATATCACTCCCCTACTTCAGTCACGTCCTGCTCCTCTTAGGCGAAGATCAGAATTCCTTCCTATGATCCACGGACCTTTTTCTTGTTCTCTGGCCTCTTGACCACTGCTCCAGCCTCAGCAGGGGCCGTCTGCTTCCTTCTTGCACTTGAGCCTACTGCTTTGTTTAGATTTGGAAATGCAATACCCAAGACCTTCATATAAGCCATGCCCTCTGGAGGGCCCCTCTTCTGTCTCTTTGTCTGGCAAATTCTTGGTCAGTTTTCAGGTCCCAGCCTAAACTGAGGAATTTCCATCTAAATCAGGTCTTTACCTCTTGACACCTTGTATTGTTCCTTCATTGTGCTTATAATACGTAGTTCCATATTTGTTTATGGGATTAATTGTCTAAATCTGTCTATACTATGAGGGCAGGGACTTTATCTGTTTGGCTCCTGTGTAACCAGCGCCTGGGAACCATGCACAACACTTAGTGCTTAGTAGGGACAAATAAATATTTGTTGGCTACATGAACCATTGATAGGCAGAACACCAGTTTCATTAGCAAAGGCAGGAAATAACAGGGACTTAACCAGACTTGCAGAAGTAAGAACAAAAACAAAACCCTCAACCCTTTATATTTTACTGCTTGTTTTACTGACATTGTCAACTTTTTCTAAACAAAGCCATATTTTCCTCATCAGAAAATTGTTCTGGAAAAGATTCTAACGGTAAAAACAATAACATTGTGAATGTGTGGCAATGGATGTGTTGTGCAGAAGTGTAGGTGTTCTTTATTATAGAGTGTCACTCTGTAAGAATTGATTCCTCTTTCAGCCTATTGAATAAAGCCAATCTCAAATCGTATTATAAAACATTTTTGAAAAGTAGAAGGGAAACTGTCATTCTTTCTTTTTGTAAAATTGTTGTATTGTCTTGGTGATTTTCTTTTGTCAAGATGACTGTAATTATTGGAGAAGTCTGTAAAGGAATATTAAGAGTAAGAAAGAATGATCCATTTTCATGTGTGCTTAGAAAAAATAGTCTGTCACTTGAATTCTGAAGACTGAAGATTTTGTAATGTGCACAGTAAGCCCTTGTGGGAAGAAGACTTCAACTACAATGAAAACATGAGGTGGGAGGGAGGGAGACAAAGAGGGAAGAGATATGGGAACATATGTGTATGTATAACTGATTCACTCTGTTATACAGCAGAAACTAACACACCATTGTAAAGCAATTATACCCCAATAAAGATGTTAAAAAAAAAAACAAAAAAAACATGAGGGCAGGACAGTACTATCTTTATAAATTTGCTAAGCCCAATTCAGTCCTTCTGTTTGATGAAAATTGCTTTCTTTAAACTTGCAAAGTAAAATGCCCTGGTTGTTCTTGTCCATCTTCAAATGTTCTTTAGACATACTTGCCTGTCATGAAGGGAGTTTTCTAAAGGGCATATTGAGTACCACTCGATACGGTAATAGCTTTAGTACGTGTCTAAAAATCCCTGCGCTAATTGTATGCAATAACTACTTACTGGTTGCTTAAAATATATTTGTGCTTATAATTGGCAGAAATGTTTAAAATTCACTGTTAATTATTTCCTGGGTCTGCCTTAGTTATTTGTGTTAACTTTGCATTAACATCTACTTTTACCATAACCCTTAACAAAACTGAGTGAAACATGCGAATCAAAAATAACAAAATTATGGAGAGTATGTGGCATTCCACCTTCCCTTATAATCTGAACCACAAACCTAAACCTTTGAGATTTATTCCAAGTAGGCAAAAATAAGGAATATAGTGTAACTAAATGATTATACTCATTTCATTAAAAAAAATTAGGCAACATTTTAATACAAAATCGAGATTCATGCAGTGACAAATATTCCCGTATTTTAATAATTTAATGAAAAAAGTGTTTTTCTTTTAGCATACTATAGACATAATTATATCTTTATGGCTTTTCAAAGCACAAAAAAGTTACAATTTCCTGGACATAAAAGAGTTGTAATTTTAATTTTGTAGAATATAGACATGAACATTTTCAAACTGAACACTGCTTAATAGGGTCAAACATTTCGTAGGAATCTTTATAATTTGCTTAAATTTCTTCTGATAAATAGTGATAGAAATTAAATTTGTTAGAATCTACATTACATAATGGTTATGTTTTAACTTTATATTCTTTTATACATAAAGGAAGAAAAAGAAAACTGGGCCAGTAACAAAGGGATATACAGCAGCTGTTCCATTCGTTCCTAGATTGTAGAATATTTTTTTCTTGCTTAGTGTCTTTTATGAATTCCCTAGTCTTAAACCTCATGACTGGTTCTACCTCTATTGAAAACTTTGTTTTTTTGGATACTGCTTTCCATCATTTTAATGGTTAAATTAATAGAACCAGGATAGCTTATCAATTTGCATGTTGAAAATTTCTTTTATTATTCTAATACTTACCCCACAAAATATTCCATCTGAGAGCTTGTCTACCTTAAATTTTTTCCCACCTGAGCCAGTTCACAGACTAAATTCCTCATTGATATAATTCTCTTGAAATCATTACAGTAGTCCTTTGTAACTTCTGATGTAAGAGGAAAAAGAGGCAGATCTTGGTTTTTCCTGTAATTTAAGTTACTTTCTTGGGACTAAAGCTTGTAGTATTTTTGTGGCTGGAAATTTAACAGACTAGTAATTGGTATGCTTGAACATTTGAAACAATTCTTTGTTAGTATCACTTTGTCTCTGCCATTCTAATAGTCCCCGATCCATCTAAGCCTGAATATAAAACTCCTAAAACGCTATTTAATAGACGTTTAGTGATATGGTAAATATATTTGTAATATACAGCTGGGCTTTCTAAATGGAAAATTTAATACCTCTTAGTCTAATGAGTATTTAAACAACTTGTAATCTTAGATAAAATGTAAATTCAGAAAGACTTTTAATGCAGTAAAATTTTATTAGTTCCTACACATTTAGAATTGCGATAATTGAACTAAATTAACATTTATCAAATGCCTATTATTTGCCAGGACTTTTTCTAGGCATTGGGCACATAAATATGAATAAATTAAATTTCTAGCCCTTGACCTGCTG